GGTGTCCAGCCAGGGTCAACCCACCACAGCGTTATACCAAGTATCTTGCAACAGTGTACAGAGGTTAAAACATAACTGACTAAAGAGAGATTAGTTTTGTAAGGACAAGGTCAGAAAAGGAAATCACAACAACTGCATCTACATTAAAACCCCCGGAAACTCTTGTCTCCCGAGTTCAGATTTGTGCCACACCCATACATTAACTCCAAGTCAGAGCAAGGAGGAAAGAAGGGAAAGCAAGGAACATATGCCAGAGGAGCAGCAGTGAGCCCCAGCAGGTAATGCAGATGCAACTCTGGGAAGTACGATTAGCAGTAAGATGTAAGGAAAGCGATGAATAAGTTTTGATCTAGACTGAAGAAAAGCTTGACAAAAGCAAAGATGAACATTAACTACCAGAATATAAGAGCAAAACCAAGCTTCTATTTTGCTAATGTAAATCATTGGATATGCATTTAAAAGCTGAGGTGGTGAAAGACTGGAATGTTAATGAAGATATAAAGATTATTTTTATCTCTATATTGTAAAGACTGTTCCAAAAAAATTAAGTAACTGAATAAAAGTGAACAGCAGTCACTTCAAGAACCCAGCATCCTGGCAGTCCATGCACTACCTACACCTGTAACATCCATGAGTACTGAAATTTCACTGATTTTATTTCAGCAGAAAAAAACAAAGCAAAAAGCCAAAACAAGCAGCACAGACAGAAAATGGAGAAAGTGATGACCCTGATCTTCACAAAGCCAGTGGCACATCTCACACCTGAAGATTGCACTCTAGCAGCAATCAGAGGAGTGAGTGAGCAGTAATTCCTTTAGAAACATTAACTGACTGCTTTACTCAAAATTTTGTTGAAGTATGCATGAAAAAAATTATTTGATTTCCCTGAGGTTCAAAAAAAAATGGAACTAGACCTTATCCATAATACAAAACCACAAAAGCGTCTAAAAAGTTATTTCAGAACCACGTGTTTAAAGGTACCTTGATAACGGAAATTAATCTGCGCATGATATAACAACCTAATATAGCAATTGGACAGTGAAGACCTCCTGTCCTCCCTGACATAATACTTTTAAAAATGTAATTTGCTAAAAGATGAAGCTGAAAAGGTTGCTGTTCATAAATGTCAGCAACCCTAACAGAAATATGAGACAAATGTAGAAACAAAGTCCCATCAGAAAGGCATGCTGAATTCTCTCAAATGTATCACAGAATCATTAAGGTTGGAAAAGACAACATCCATGGTTTTAGTGCCAAAATATCTTGCCAGGCACCTTTAGATTTAGGCATCTAAACTGCCTGGTCTCTGAATGTTCATATTCACACTGGCAATGGCCAGTGTCCACATTTATACTGATAATTTCCCCAAGCTATCAACCTTTCTGCTAGTGAACGTATCTCAGCCCTTACAGCGCTGAGCACCTAGGACTGGAACCCACGGTCCTTGGGAGCTTCAGTGAGAAGCCTTTAGCTCTCCTGGAGTCAATGGAGAAAGATGGTCACCTAGCACCTAAATAAATTACTCTCCAGATGTGTCCCGTTTCTCTCCACCGACTAAAGAAAGAGGTAACCAACTGAAGTGTTCTCTTGCTGACCGTACTAGGAAATACGAAGGGTCAAGGACCGTTCTCTTAAGACTGAAATGGTAGGCCAGGATACAGGCATACAATTAAGTGGGTTTAGCTTCCAAACCAGGGTGGATGCACCCAAGCTGCATGCCAACGGTCCTTAGCTGTAAACCCTACACTGGTGTTACCAGGTTACTTGTTACACGTTAATATGCTACGCATCAGCTTCTACAGCAAATACTGCCTGACAATACAGAGCTGGAGGAAGTACCAAATGCTCTGTGGGGCTCCTGGGCACAAATAAGGGGCCCATCTGCCTAATTCAGTTAGCATCTAAATTTAGGTGCCCACTGAAACTGCAAACATCTAAAGTAGGTCTTACATATACGCCCTTCTGTGAGCAGGATGCTTTCAAAGATTTCAAAGGCACCTATAATGTTATCAACACTAGTAAACTGAACAGTGTGAGTGCCAATCCTCAGACATGGAAGTCTCTTGACATTGTGCCAGAATTATTAAACTCTGTGCACCCCTCCCCTCAAAAAAAAAAAAAAACAAAACAAACAACCCAATGGAAACCAACCTCTCCACACTCCCACATACACACATACATCCCAATTTGGCTATATCAAATACACGCTGGGAAGAGTCCATGCCCCCGGCTAACACAGCGATCATATCCAGAAATTGCCTGGAAGACTGCTAGCTGCCTCTGCCAAAACAGTCTCTTGGATCATGCTAACAGTTTAAAAAATGGGACAGTCTCATGCCAGGGTCCCTAGTCCCTGAGACTGTTTTATTTTCGGGATGCATAAAAATATTCTTTGGGCCTGGACAGGAGTAAGAAAAGCTTATAGCCCAATTATACAGCCTTCAAATGGGTGAGAGATATCCATCTTCTCCCCCTTCTGTGTCAAACAACACACCACTTTCCAAGCAAAGTAGAACCTTTGATTTCAGTGGGACATCCAAGCACTTTTGAATGTACTTAGAGTTTGAACAGTAAGTCCCACCAATATTAATCTGAAAAATTTTTCGTCTGTCCACAGGTATCTCACTGACACTGTATCAGTGTGGAGTAAAGTGAGATCAGTGTTTTCACACAAGTTTAAGGGTTTTTTAGTTAGGATTTCAACCAGTATTTACTGTTATGCTAACTTATGCACATATAATTACTTTGCTGCTCTTCCACCCCTGTTTGCATCCTACATTGTGAGATCTTTGAGGAAGATCCTTTTATATTTCCCTTTGTACTGGGCCCAATAAAATATTCTTAATTCCCTTTTAAAGCTTCTAGGTTCTAACATAACAGAACCATGAAATAACAGCAATGTTTCAGTTCTCTGCAATAGAAATAAATTGAGCTATTACTTACAGCAGGTCTGTTTCCAAAAGCAGCATAAAAGGGTTCTGTGTTAGGGTAAAACAAATTCTTGATGTCTGTCAAACACTGAACTTTAAATTTTTCTGGCTTCTTTTCTATCACCTCCCTGAAATGATAAAAAAGGGAGGCTGAGTAAGTACACATGAAATATAGCACAAACCATTTTATTTTCTTTATTCAACATTTTCACCCATCTCGATACTCCCACAGAGCCCCCACCCTTCTCCAATAAATCTTCATTTGGAAATCACAGCACCCATGAAGACAAAATAGCATTCCCAAGCTTACATAATGGGCACAGTAAATAAATCCTCTGAAACAAGGTAACTTCTGTTGAAACCTATGTTGTAAAGATGGTACTGAGCAAGGATGGTTGACTACAGGGAGTAGCTGCTAAATAGAGACTTATGAGACATAAATTGTCAACTGCAGAATGATTCATAGATTGTATTAGCCTTCACTGTGTGTAACTTTTTTTTTTTTTAAAGGGTTGTAATTACCATATGTGCTAGAAGCACCTCAGCCTGTTAAGATACTTCTACAGTCAGGATCCTCCATCACTGCTAATTAGCAAAAGTGAAGGAATAAAGGAATCATCTATTTCTCTTCAGTTGCTCCTTACAGAATAGAGAATTCATTAATGAACAGAGGAGTTATCTCATCTCTGGGCAAAAGTCCTTTCACAACAGCTTCTCTTGGCAGGGAGGCTGAACAGGTGGCAGAGTCTGGAGTTCCCATAACATAGAAAGATGCCAGCATGACACAAGAGTGCTTAAGCTCAGAATCCCACATCCTAGCACCAACACATATGTCAAAGAAGATGTGAATAGTACAGAAGCTTCATAGGAGTAATACAGTCCTTTGGAACAGCAGCTCCGTGTATAAATCAAAGTTTAAGAATGTGCAAAAGAGGAATAAACCCATCTTTCCTCAGTCTTGCATACACCTGATCTCAGAGCCCTCAAACCCACAATAACTAAATCTATGGATAACAATGAAGTCATGTATTGCCCACACATCACAGCAGTTGCAATAGTGTACGCTGAAAGATGGGCATTCTTTACTCTACACAAGATACCAAAAAGAGTATCACTTTAAATTTATTTCTAGATATGAGGAGCAGAAGATAACAGTAACTACCCTTTCACTGCATTTTTTATTTAATCAGGCTAAGAAGTGTATGGTAATACCTCCACGGTCTCTTATATTTAGAGCACGACTGGTAACACAGCCTGTAGCATGTCACTCAATCAGGAGAGCATCTGAACAACCTTCCATTAAAAACTCTAATGAAATATATTCTGTCACAGCAGCTTTTAACAGCTTCAAATATTTTCAGTAACCACTTGACATGCTTCACTGAATTAGGAGAAGGTACAATATTCATAATCTGCACTATTATTATTCACTTATTACAGTTCAACACGTAGAAAGAACAACACTGTCCACACAGAATACCACAGTGCAGTCAGGAGTATAAAAAGTTCACTTCATTTTCACATTAATTTCTTCAAAACCCACCAAGTAATATTCTTCCACAAAAAATGCTTATGCCAATTGGAACACTTTACAAGTCAAGACTAGACTGTTTGTTACTAATATGTGAATATTTTTCCCATAGCTAAATATTAACATACCATGTTAAATACCTGAAGTCAACAGGTAGTACCTATTGGTAAAGAGTGAACACAGATGTATACTGAGGCATCTCTAAGAGATAACCTAAGCAATGTGACTATCTATTGAATGTTGATTTTTCTCTAATAAAATTTCTTATTAATTAAATTTTGCACCAATATGTAAGAAAAAACATTATTAATGATTTCAAGCACTCCCATAAAAAAAAGCTGAGAATTCAGCCTCCACCAAACTCTGAGTTTCTTTCTGCATAAAAGTAACACTTCAATACCTGTGAAAAGCTGAGAATAAGCTGCTTGGACTCAGCAACACTGGCCCTTGAGGCAGCACAGTTCCTCGTTCATTGACCCAGTGCAAGTATCCTCTGGTCATGTCTGCCATTCCAATAGCACGTGCTGAGCAATACAAAAATTTATATCCATTTCTGTGAACAGAAATAAAAGAAGAAATTACTGTAAAAATAAAGCAGGTATTTTGACCTTAATAATTTGGTGGGTTTATTTTTATGTGAATCAAATCATGACTGTTAAGCAAACTTATGTTTAACCTAGACGTATTTAAAAGGGCTAAAACCATTTATGCCAGAAACTGGGATAATTAAAATCCGCCTAACTCCACTGCAGTTAGTGATTTACACCTAAAGAGGGCTCATTTATCTCTGGAGTTCTCATGGTTTATGACTTATGATTCTTATGGTTTTCTATCTGCTCCTGCATAGTGGAACCATACTCCTTAGAATTAACTGAAATGCAATCTGCTGAGAGGAAAACACTTGGCATAAAGCACACAACGGTGTATTAGCCTTTGCTGTATTAACAGTGTTGTATTCCTGCCTCTTCGGCCTCTGCAAAAGAAGACTATGTGCAGCAGTAATCTCTTCCTTCAAGTCAGAGCAAATTTGAAGTTCAAAACACAATATTAGGAGTAATCTTTGACTTGACGCTGAAATAAAAGTTCTGGCAGACGTCACAGGTTACCCTTGGTTCTGTTCATGACATAACAGAGTCCAGTGATGATAGTTCAACTTAGTGGCAATTTACTTTGCAAGTCCTATAAAGAAATTGTTGTTCATAAAATAAAGAAATACTGTATTCAGTGCACGCATGGTCATTAAATCTAACTATTGAACATTTATATGGTGTTCAGCTGTAATATCTAGCCCCTACATAATTAACTCAGTAATTTGAAAACCAACATGACTCAGATCTATTTTTTTCTCCTATGTTTATGATCACCAAAGACCTAACAATTGACAATGCCGGCAGGCATAGAAATAACAACTGCAATTAAAAAAATTAATTAACATTTTCACCAAATGTAATGCAGAGGTTACACACATAACTCAATACTGCTCAGCATGTGAACTCCCAGGCTGTCCCGTCTGTTCTGTGATCACGTATGTCTATATAGAATAAAAGCACAGACAAGTGTCTCTGACATAATTTAGATTCCATCATCCATAATTTATAACTCGTCATTCATGTAAAACAAAAAGCAATAAACAACCCCTAGCATAACCCTAGTACACAGAACAAACCAGATTAACTAAGAGGACAGTTGTGATGTGTACCAGAGGCTCGTCAAACATTTACGGTAATTTGAATATGTAAGAATAGCTGAATTTAATACAACAAAAGAAAACCAATTTTATTTTCTACATAAAGCAGAAATATCAACCTGAACAGACACCAATCAGTAATCCTCCTTGTAAAAGTTAAAATCTGAATGCATAACATCAGAATATATCTGATCCCGTTCAGACATCAATTAATTTTTCTCATTTCCTTTTTTCTCTCGGTTGCTCATCACTAAACTCACCATACTCTCAGCTGTTGATTCTTCAGTGTACTACAGCTTGACTACATTGCAAAAAGTTTCCAGGGAACCAACAGTACACCTGTACTCTTGCATTAGAGTAGAAGCATTCCCACACATCACCCCATGTGAGTTGGTATGATCTGACTATTTTTCTCCTGTTCAGATTCATCAGAGGAGAGATCCCCAGTTTTCTGGAATACATTGTTCTAGGTCATATCGGGATACTCTCCCTGTTAACTGACCTAAAGCACACCTGTTGCCCAGTATTTTTTCAATAGCTAATGGAAAAAAATAGTTTTTTCAAAACATCATTAGATCTCAGGTATATTGAACTACTTTTTGAAGATGCCTATCTTTGTCCATGGATTACACAGCGAGTATACAAGCCACAAGTAAACATGCTGAAACCAGGTCCTTCTACCCAGAGTGGCACAGAAGGTATTTATTGCTGTGTAGATCAGCTCGTGAGCCGCAATATGTGGTGTTACTCAAAGTGGTGTTGCAAGGTAAAAGCCAGTTCCTCAGGCTCTTCACAGCATATGTCTTATTGGACTTTCAATGCCTTTACAGGCTTTTTGCTTTTGGTATCACAAAGTAGGTTTTGCTCTGGATATCACACAGCAGATGTTTACACTGTGTAAGCATCACAGAGTGACAAGATACTGATAAAATTGTCACCCTTATAGGTTAAGAGAAGCCTAGAGAAATTTAATTCTTATGTGCAAATGAATAAACACAAACGAGCCACAGATGCACGAACAGTTTTACTGAATACTCACTGGCTCACTTTATGGTACAACTTCGCAATCCCTTGGTGTGTCCAGTCTTTGCCAAGAGTTGGCAAAATATGACCTAAAGTATCTGACCTGCACAAAGGAAAAAACAATATAATTGAACAGAAGAAAAATCCACAATACTTATAATCACAGATGAGGCTAATATAAACCACATTAACGTGTTTGGCTAGTGGCAAAGGAAAACAAGGTTGTCTGTAAGGTACTGACTGTGATCAGAAGAGAATGATTTTACTCCCCTTTCTTTGGAGATACACTGCCCTGCTCATCCTTGGCCATGTTGTTTTAACTACTCTTGTGCCCCAGTATTTGTCTTCATGGATAAGCTCGTGACCCATAAGGTAACATGGAAATTACAGCATATAGGCTATCAATTAGAGCTGTGCAGTAGGCCTGCCAGCACCAAGCATACTTTTTGAGGTTTACATTAAATGTTTACTAAACAAACCAAATCTACCCATAAGGGAAGCTTATGGGAAATTACAAGCATGAGAAGTGACATTCTGGCTTATTTCAAACTAACTTATCCACATAAAGCCAGCATCTGGTCACGTATAAAGTTATACCAGTTTCCATGCTATTTCCCGCTTTGAGAATGAGAGAAAATTATTTACACTACAATAACATCTAGAAACTCAAACAGATGAGCACCTCACTTGACTAAGCATTATACAGATACACAGCAAGAAATCTGCGCCCTGGGTATCTTGCATCTTAGAGAGAAAACATTAGGTAGTGGCTTAGGATGGATTATGCAATGGTATTATAAGGTGAAGTGATTCAGTAACTCTCTGGTCAGCTCAACAGCAGAGAGAAGAGTAGATCCCATTCATTTTATTGGAGCTTAAGAAAACAAAGGCAGGGGAGAATATTAATTTATGTTGGCACAAGAAAAAGGTTTGCCCTATAATGGATACATCACAAGGAAGAAGAGAGTTTCAGTTTAAATTAAGTATTTTAATTCACCCCAGGTTGCTCTCGGAAATTAATTTTCCTTGTTCTTTTTTCTAATTACATATAGCTAAGTTAGATTTGTTTCAAAATCAATTTATTTCAAACTCAAAGCATTTCATTTTAAAAGGTCAAAAGAAAATGCTTATATTTTTATTATGTGTTTCCCTGTTCCACGTACAATTGTTTTCCCCAATGTTAAATAAATAAGTAACTAAAAATCAGCGAGTGAGTAAATCATTTTGGTCACTCCAAAATTGTGGGTTTCACCCAAAGTACTAATCTGAAACTTTCCATCAAATTCTAATTCTGACATTCATTTCGGAGTCTTGTCTTCTAAATAATAATGCCTCTCACTGGAAGGCCCCAGTAACGCTTTTTAAAACAGAATTCACGTGTTTCTTCTTTTTAATGTAGCCAGCGTACTTCATAAGCGTGATGTAGCAAAAAGGTTACAATTTTGCCAAAGGTCCTCCAATACTAATGTAAATATTATCATGAAACACCAACAGGTAACAAATAATGGGCACATATGGCATGCATCTTTATAAAATTAAGAACTCAGCTAATGATTCTTGCATTGTTCAAAAGCCAAACAAAATAAAATTTAAAAAAAAACACTCCCCTCCCCAACCACTAGAATATGATGATTCGGTGACTCAAAATTCCCCGTTAATTACTTTCTCCTTTAGTCCCAAGGACAACTCGTCCTTGCGGATAAAGCCTCTTCCTGTTCATGAACTCACCGTGTGATTGTTCCGTCAATGTCCGAAATAACAACTTTATCATCCCAATTCCATAGGTAAATGGTGCCTTCGCAGCGGCAAGTGCCTTGATACTGTGTTGTAACACTAAAGGTCACATCATTGGGGCCATTCTTCAGCTTTAAGCTTTTCTGCAAGACATTATCAGCAGGATGATCAACAAACCGAGCATATGAAACAAACACAGTGCAAACAAAGCCACAGATGACCATTGCCTTGATCACACCGAATCTCACTGCTTTCAGCAGAGCTGTTGTCTAAGTAGCGATAGCAGAGGTTTGCCCTGTGTGGTGTACATTAGGCACTGATTTATAGACCTGAACAAAACAAACAAACAAACTTCTGTTTCACAGTCAGGGATATTAAAAAAAAGAAAAGAAAAAAATCATTTAAGTGAACAAAGTTCACATAAACAGTAACGAATTATGGGAAAGGGACTATCTCTAGGAATTTTCCATTCTGAGATACAGATACATAAGCAGAGAGAAATGTGGGTTACAAGGAGTTCCATGAACTCTAATTAAGAGTGTTTATATGGGGATTTGTGTTCTATGACATTACATCTCTTTCCTGTAATATGGAAATTTCTCACACCATATGACCTATTACCCTTCAGTCTCCACCAAATTTCCTTAACTCTCCCACTTCTCTACCCTTCCCTCCCACTGTCTCCTGTGTCACTTAGCAACACGCAGGGCAAGGGACTGCTGATTTGATTCTATTTGTGGACCTAACTATTCATTTTCACAAAACCTGCAGGAGTGTAAAATTTTAAGTGTCTCTTTTTCTTAGTCACATTTCACTGCAATTTTTCAATTAGTTAAAAAGTGAAAAGGAGGTGGCAATACAGAGCAACTGATGGGTAACCGATGAGTCTCACCCACTGTTTCATCAAAAAACGAATCTAAAAGTTGGTTTAGCTTCAGCTAATTTCTACAAGGGTTCTGAATCTGAAAAGTATCAATATATTTATTTGTGTAATTCTTGCTTTCTGTTTGTTATAGAAGATTACCAACACATCCCATCTTGTCTCTTGGGAAAAAGTCTACATTTCTTACAAACTGTTCAGGCAGTGAGTGATGGGTTGTTTGATGCTGTACGTCTTGTGTTGGCTTCCTTCAGAAAATTAATTGGCTGTAGATAAGATGACAAAAAGTACTTCCCTAAAGTATCTCATTTTTCCAGATCAAATTGGAATGTGCAGAACACAGAACTGTAACAGTTTTGTCACCATTAGTCAAAATGCCTCTGTCACAGAGGAAGAGAATTGTCTCCCAAGAAGTTAATAGCCTGGCCTCATAGTAAATTCACAAGCAGCTCTTTCAGAAGTCACTAACAGAAAATTGTATTTATGTAAAATGTGACTGTCTGCCTATGAATAAGGGGAAAGGATGAATAAAAAGGGGAAAAAAAAAAGAGAAAAGAGAGAGAGGCCTGTGGGTTGACATATACACATCATACATAATACAAAAAGGTTGTAGTTCCAGTACGCTTTTTCAGGTGACAAATACATACTTTGGAATTTACTTTTGATATTTTTCTAAATTGGATCCCATGTCTCCCAATCGCTGAACCCCAGCACTTGTTGCAAGCTACAACATTCATGCTTAATACTGAAAAGAGAAGGGAGAAGATTTTTTTTTTAATATAGTAAAAGAGAGAATTAAATGCAAGACATATGAGCTACTTAAGTTTTGCAAGCCTCAATCACAGCATTGTTCATGTTGTATTAGAAATGACATTTCAGAACAAGAATGTAAAATTAACTCACAAGCTGGTCAGAAGTGAGTCGAAGCGTTTTTTTGTAACTGATTCCAGACAATAATGAGAGATGACTTGAGCTGGTTTGTAATGACCCGAGGTTTTGTTTGGCAGCTCTAGGGTCTTCGTCGCTTGAAGAAGATTCATCTTTTATTCTGGAACATTGCACACACAGAAAATGATGCTATCATGTCAGTAAACGCATCTCAGCATCCATTAAAAATGCATTAACAGTGAGTCACCAAATAAGTCATTGATTCTCTGCTCCTAAGTACTGTCTCACAGGAGGTCATTCACATCATGACTTTAAATATATCAATGAAGTGCTGAATTGTCATTCATGCATGTTCCCCATTATTCGTACTTGGATTTTTCTAGGCACTCGCTTGTCTATAAACTAGCCGTCATTACTTAAATTTAATGGATGTAAATTAATGTGCCATGTTGACTCAGAAATCTCATCGTGGTAAAAAAAATAATTCCCATTAGATACTGTAACTACAAAAATTCCTCAGTTCTCAGATGAAGAAAGAGGAGTTTGTTATGCTGGCTTGCTTTCTCCCCCAGTCTCCCAAAGAATTTATCAATTAATAAAAAAAAATCCAGGCGATGGAAATTTTATTATAGAAAGTAACTCCTCTTTCTCCTTCAGTAAGCAACTTTAGATCATTGGATTATTCTTTTCCAGGATTTGCACAATTAACCCATTCAGGATATGATGATGAAAAGTCATAAAACCTGAGCTCCTGTACATAATTCTGTTTAAATACACATCAGTATAATTTATTTTTTTTTCTGCTACAACCATTTTTTCAGAAATTTGTTAAGGATATTTTTCTTCAGGGAGAAAGTTCTCGTAACAGTAAACAAATCTATCACCTTAGGTGGAAGGTAAAGTTCAGATCCTACAAATCTCATCACCATTTGGGCTCTTATTTCGATCACACCTGGATACAGTTTCATGTTAGGAAGTCTTGACCCAACATCAGGGTACCGCATGTCATGACCAGCAATGTTTAAAAGCCTATCTTAGCCTTTGTAATATCAGACCTCAGAAGCTTTACTCAACATCCCGCTCGTCGCATTCTGCTTGTAAGCAATAAATTCTTAATGACAGATTTCTAAGGTCAGTTAAAATGTAAACAAAGAACGCCAATTACAGAATCTAGTCTGCTTGAAGTCTTAATCCCACTTTAAAGCTTATCTTTAAACAACCATGTAAGAAACAAGAGACCTAAATGTCACTTGTCATCCTTAAAAAGAAAGCCTTTCCAATTTATTCTGTGGCACTCTCACAGTCAGAGAGGAAACTGAGGTAACAGCTAGTCTCCCACAGGATGAGGAATCCTCCTTCCAGCACATGCTCCTGGACTGCAACTGCTGACCTCCAGAAAGAATGGCAGTTAATGCCTTTTTGTTTCGTAAATGTGATCCTTGAAATTAACTTAATGAGCATAAAGCATATTTCAATCTGGCCCTTTTCAGCTCTAGGTGCAGACAGCATACCAGACGGGCTGTCTTCACAGTAAGATCTGTATGTCCAGCAAAGGGGCAAGGTAGGAGAGCTGTCCCTGGCTAACTCATCCCTCTAAGGCCTCCAAAGCACGTTAAAGCTCGTCTTATGGAATCCTCCTGAAGGAGAGATTCTGGCCATACACTATGATTAGTTTGGAGCACAAGAGCACAAGAAGGAAGAGATTGAAAGAAGTAATAGGAAGCCATGACTATTGACTGTGAAAAAAAAAAAAAAACAACTCTGGAAAGTCTTATGCCCACAAACTTGCCAAAATACGCAGGAACAAGTTGTCAGGCCATAAACATAAGCAAATCAGAAACTGGAATCTGACAACAGCACGAGGTCATCTATGATGCTCCCTTGAAAATTCTAGAGAGATACATAAAGCTTCAGAGAACTGCTGCAATTGCTGTTTGTTTTCAGTGTGTGTCACACAGCTACCGGCCAAACCACAGAAATGCCAGAGCGCACTCGCAAGGTCTGCAACCCTGCCATGGGTAGAGCCTTCCTATCTGCACTTATGTGGTGCAATGAATAACAACTGAAACATATCTCACAGATGCAGTATTTCTTTGTTCAAGTATAAGAGGTAGCTTGCTTTCATTTTAAATGGTAACTCCTGCTCATTTCAGGTACAGATAATTTTTGGGCTACCTGTTTGCCATGCTCATCTGTGAAGAGTCTTCTCCTGTAAGTCCACCCCCACTCATACCTTGCTCTGGCTTTGTTTCCTGTAAAAATACAAGTATAAGAAACTGTCCATCTCCTGTTGGGCAGAGAGCAAGAGTTTTTAGAAAAATATTTGAAAACCAAATTCTGTCTTGTACAGACTTGGTAAAAATCAACAACATATTTGTTTCCTTTGCTTGTAGGCAAAGTAAAACTTCATGGTTTTCTTAAAGAATAAAGGCTGAACAAAGAACTAAAAATTGCAAATATAAAACTCAGAAGAAGAATTAAGATTTAGTTTTGCATGGAAGAAGCACAGAAATATCAGATTTCACATCTAGTACTGCTAAAGTTCTGGGATCAATCCCATAACTACTCAGATCATGTACCTCAAATAGCTAGATCTCACCTGAAAAAGCAAAGCAAAGTATGACTCCGGAGAAGGAAAAAAACACAACAATTACCCTAGAATTATCATAGAATTATCATAGAAACATTAAAATCTTTAACACAATAAAACTTTACAAACTGCTTTTACCTTAAGTAGATGCTAAGTGCTATCAACTTCATCCCACAAGATTTTTAAATAGTGAACGATTTTGAGACACATAGACAACAATAACATCTCCCCTTATCCATTTATAAGTTCAAGAGATAACCAAATACTTCCACGCAGAGAGAAATTCTAAAAACTTCAACAAACTCTAAAAAATAAAACCTCACTTTCTGAAACCCATACCCACAGATCAGTACAACGGTTATTTCATGCCAAGCTAAAAAAGTTCATCGACTGAGGTACAACCATAAAAATGTATTAGAAATCATTTTCTCCCCTCAAGTACTAATGCTTCAGTAGTATAAATTAATATGAAAAGGTTTTATTAGCCAACTTTAAAGATTAAATATGTCTAGACAGGAGATCAATATTTCATATAAAGTTTTGCTTTTTTTCACTGTTCTTTAATGTTCATCCATGGCTTTAAGACTATCACCACAAACTTCTAATAGAAGTTTCTGAGTTTCTGCTCAGAAAAGAAATTCAGAAAGACTTTAAAGGTAATATATAGCCAGTTTTCCATCTTAGGTTCTGCTGAATTTTACAGCTCACATGACTCATAAATAAGTCTGTTCCTCAACTATCGAAAGAAAGCTGCAGAAAGGTAAGTAATCTGCACAAAAACATTAAACTAGTGGCACAGCTCTTTGATTCTAAGTTCTCAAACACAAATTTAATCCATTAGAAAATACTGCCTTAGGTTTGTGTAATGAAAATAAATGCAGAACCAAAACACTGCAGGCAAATGTTTCAGGTAGGGTCTGATCCAAAGCTTTCTAAAGCCAAGAGAAGTTAAACTTTAGACCCTGTTTCAACATCTTTTAATGTGTATATCCTCAGTCAAACTGAATATTGAGGTACTCTCAGAAGCAAAGTTCTGAGGGCATAATATGGAGGTATCCAGCCTTCCCACTGCAACCAGAAGGAAACTCTGCTTGCTGCTTAAACTTACCTCTTTAATAGTGCTGTTCCTCCCTCGCCATGAAAACCACCACCTTCCACCTTTTTTGGGCATCTTGTCCCTCATTATAGATTCCACAGTGGCCTGTGATAAATGGATGGTAACATAAAAAAAAACCAAAACAAAGGACAACCTGATATATGTAAATGAAAGTAAGTGTCAAACACACAATTTTAACTGATAATAAATAGAATAAAAGTAAACATACTGTCTGTGGACCATAAATTCTACTAAAGCAAAATCTAATGGTATCCAGAGCTGCTCTGAAGTAACTTAAGCATGAATACTTTATGGTATTTTTAAAAGGAAAATGAAAAAGAGATAAAATCAAAGAAGAAAAAAAAAGCATAAATAGATATTAGTATAATGTCTAGAATGGAGGAGCTACTGTTTTTAAGCTGAAGTTACTTAGTGCAAATTATATTTTAAAAAATGAAAAATATGATTCCTGGAGTAGTGCTCATACAGAACAGTTACAAACCCACATGCAAGACGGTTATTCTCATTTAAAACGAACTACAAAGTTCACATTTCATCATCAGTTTGGAAAAAAGCAAAGAAGTTACTAGCTTTTATGAGTTTAGTATGCTCCTATGAATTTGACTGGCAATGTTAGAACTATGTTTTTTTAAACCCTGGCTACTTTTCATTGGTTATATATATTAGACCTCAACAGAGAAAAGTTTCTTTCAATTCCCATAATGACTGGAGCCCTACGCATTGTAACAAGGAGAGCTGAATTCTTTCACTCAGAAAGCAAGCAAAAGACAAAAGGGGAAAATATTACAGTAACGGTGGCCACAGTGTTTGGTACACCCTAAAACAGCTTAGCCACTGGCTTTCTGAGATGATAGCCTCCACTGCAAGCAAAGTCACCAAAATAAAACCATGACATCAATTAGTGATTTAAAAAAAAAAATCAATGATTCCAAAAACTCTTAGCAGTTGAGAGAGGGTTAAGTTCAGCCAATGTATGGGACAATGCATCCCTTTTCTCAATTTTCCATAGGTTCTCTTTACTACACCATCTAAAGTATATGAGAAAAGAAAGAAATGACACAGGAATAAAGTTGAGCAAACAAGTTGAGAACTTCTTAAACAAAAATAAGAAAAACAAGCAGCAGATGGAACTGAGAATGGAATGCCACTGTTGAGAACAATGGCTACAATTTAAGGAGGTTCTCAAAACATACGGACAACATCAGGCAGACACCCTATTGACTTTTAAGTGAGATAACTCACGTGATTACAATTAGACACATGGTTAAGCGTATTTTGCAGAACATGAGTGATTTTTTTCTCCAAAAACTCCAGTTTTCAATCACTTCATAAAGCCTGTTTTGATAAAGTATCTTAATATTCCAGTTCCTTAGTTCCATTATTACAGCAAATCAATACTCCAATTAACAAGTCATTAAGAAAACCAGCAGGATGACTGGTAGCATAAATAAGTAATTCTGGTTTCAGAGGTACAGTTCAGCCAAGTAAACCTTCCCAGTCATAGGGACTGTTCTAACTATATGTTCTGGCTTCTCCACTAAGTTAAAATCGCACTGTCTGGAAAGTTACTAGCATTCAGAATATGTTAACCATTTGAAAAAAATTAACACACTGAATTTCACACTCGTAGAAGACTCTTCTTAACTGATAACCTATATGAATAATGGAGTAACCATAATGCTATTGAAAGAATTGCCATTTCCCTTAACTGCAAAAATATTTCATACCAATTCTTTCCATTTATCCATCCTAGGTAAAACCCAAAACACCTGTCTCACATCAAAGTGTTTAATTAAAAATGCAGTTAATACCTTGTGTTATCTTTATTGCCACTGAAGAACCAACAGGCACCTATCAAGGTTGGAATTACTCTGTGGAATTGCCTAACAAATGCAGAGTAGGATAACTACACACCTTCTGAAGGCATTTGAGTTCCATGGGATGAATCCCACCTTTGATGATTACTAGAATATTTGCAGTAAAGCACAAAACATCTGTCTCTGGGACATCCTTGAAATTCAAGCCAGGCTTACCAGATGTTTGGGACTTTTAGGATCAATTTACTTTACACTGGAATGCTACAGTGCAGCTACGCAGGACTGCATACATAGGTAATGCGCCACTAAGAAAGAACACAGTGGTAGAGAGTAACCTGGGCTTTGAAGAAATCTTTATTCCACGTTCATGGCAATAGAGATAGCATTTGAATTCGCATAGATTAAACCCAAAGACAAGTGAAGTGCTGCAAATGGCAGAATGAAAGTTTAGGCTCCAAAATTTACTAAATCCATGGCTAACCAGGATACAAAATAGTGCCAATAGTGATATTACTTCTTTATATACATTTACAGTAGTGTGTATTTCTGTGCTGAGCATCTATGTGGCACCAGGTCACTTAGAATTGGACTAAATTCATCAATGCATTTAATATAAGCCAACATATTTACCTACCACATAGTCATAGCTGTCTGCCACTACCTACCTGGGTTGGTTATGAAAAACCAACCGAGAAACAGAAATTACAGGCCTTCCTTATCCAGTAGTTAAAGCTTATTCGCTGAGATTAAAATTCCTGGCCTCTATTTTTATTTGATAATATATGCTGTATACAGATAAAATGGAAAGCAGTCACCAAGTATTCAGCTACAGCAAACACTAACATGGGTCAGTATAATTTATGCTCATAATCCATATTAATGAAGGAAAACAGGGAGTTTTCCTTCTTCAATATATTTGTAATGACCTCAGCCCAGCAAATAAACACTATTTACAGAACCAAATTTAGTTCTGCTTACTTAGCCCTTAGCGTAAGCTAGATGAATGGTTATGTGTGGATAGATATTACTGATGTGTGGATTCTTTTGTACAATAACCCTCTTCCCTGCCTTAGTAAATTGCAGAATGTCACAACTCCTCCTCTGACCAACCTTCATGTTCAATCTCACCTTTGGCAAAGGTTTCTGGAATGCCTGCATTGCCAGCAGAAGGGGACCAGCTGTTGTCCAGTTGTAGTACCTGGGCATGCAAGAGAGAGAATTACTGCATTTTGTAATCCCAAGGTTCCAATTCACAATCTACCTAGAATATATCATCTGGCAGTTTAAAGCCATGAAGCCTGTTTAGCACAGGTCAAACTCTGGCCTGCACCAGTAATAGTAGACCCACCTTATTCCACAGTATGTTCACAGGTATTTATGGAATATACTTCTCAAGACATGCATGAGAAGCTAGGTCCTTAAGTAGAAATGGCATTTGTCGTACATTCCTCAGGTGCTTGCTACACCTTATTATCACAGCATGAGCTACATCCTTTACAAGCTGTTTTCACTGTTTTTCCATCAAGGAACTGCACAAAAGTTAGGAGCCATAGGATGTCAAGCTTTTGCTATTGTGTGCTGAACATGGGTCAACTCTTGTTACAGACAGTAGGACAAATACAGTCTTATCGTCCATCTGTCTAGCGAAGCTGAAGCTCACATGACATCCAGAAAATAAGACACTCTCACTAAGTACTCCTCTCTTCCCAACATACCAGTAGGCAGGTAAACATTGCCATCAAAGTCAGAGAACTATGGCAGGGAAGCAGTAAGTGCTTCCTTCACCTCAGACCACAGAGAGGGTCAGGTATGAGGCTGTAACATATGCAATACAAACTCTCACATAAGGAAGCACCAGGCACGTCAGATTTGTATAAGCAATGTCTCTGACTAAGGGTAGCCTAAGCTCTATGTGCAGCACAATGCCATGATCTCTCTTCCACTCTGGAACATTGTACGCCAAGTGCCACGAGCTCTCAAGCTAAAACACCCTCCAAAAAGCTGCACCTGGCATAGGCCACAGTGCTGCGCCGCTGCCAGCAATATAAACATAGGAAATAATGTCTTAGCCTTGCAGAAATAGAAGTCTCATGCTCAGTGGGTGAAGTTTGACAAGTCTTAAAAAGCAATGCCTCCATAGAGGCATATTAGCAAAATATTCAGTATATACAGACAACCTGCTGGGTACAAAGTGCTTGCAAGAAGACTGCCATACCCCTGTAAATATTAATCATTCAAACTGGCTCAGGGCAAGCCTTAGCAAGTTCACATCCTATTTCATTTTTAGTCTGCCAATTGAGTGCGAACACTATTAGCATTTAATACTAGCTTCTTGAAATTCAAATTGTGTCAGTTAGCTCTAACAGGTCATCTGGAACTGCTCTTTACTCTCAATTTAAAGGAGGAAAGGTGACTAGAAGGGCCTGAATTCACTAGAGAGTTGACTTTTTCTGGATGAATCTAAGCTATGAACATTCCAAACTTATTTTTCAGCTACAGTGAAACTGATCTAACGCCACAGAAGTGTTTTTCTTACAACAGTTAAAATATTCTTTTCCTGAAATATACTTACTTATTTCCAATCTTAACCACAAGGTTAGGGTCGTCAATGATAGCAGGATTGTCCACAAACTGCTGATACGTTACTGCATGTTCTAAGAATTCTTCTGTGGGTGGGAAAAATTACATATGTAAAGCATGCATTTATAGATGCCTGGGACTGACCAACCTAAACTTTTTAGCATCTCTCAGATACGTAGGTTTCACAGTCAGGGCCAGCCCTTCATTATTAGGGTGCTGAGCTTGGCAGTAATACGGAAGCAAGATGTTCAGAGACTCTCAGTCTCAGAAGATGCTGAGGGTTTCTTTGTTAGCTGCTGCAAGTCTTTCCTGTTCAAAATATAAGCTAAATGGAACAGTGAGGGAGGAAAATCAGGCTTCTAAGCAAGGCAAGGAAGTACTTTGTCATGCCTTTCACGGATCCCCTGTCCAAGTTAGGAGCAGGAACTGCTGGGCTCAACGTATGTGTAAATCCATAGCCAGAAACTTAGTTATCACTTGTGAGGCCTTCAGCAAAATGAAAATGTTTATGAATAAACACCCTTTCCACTGCCTGTGACTCCTTTCACAAAATCTATGTAATTCACAAGTGATCCAGATAACAAATACAACTCCAATAAATCACAGTATATTTGAAATGTTTTAAAAACTAGCCTCTGAACAGCAATCAGTGTAGCATCAGGCTCCTATGATTTTCGAAACTGCAGAAACTGCAAGTCTTAATGCATTATCTTCACAACATGCAGCTGGAAATTTAAAGCACAGAGCCCTGTAAATTATTCAGCTAAGAGTCACACAAGAAACTGGAGGTACAGCAGAACTCAGGTTAGAGTTTCCAACTCCTCCTCCTCCTAGCATCCCCATTTATAAACCACCTTTTTAATTCCCAACACCAACAGCTGGGAATTTCCTAGCTATATACTGTACCAAGTGGCAAAAGTACCATTAACACTACTGTGATACAAAACGTAATACTATCAGGAAATAAAAATAACCAGTAAAATACTTTCAAAAAATTTAGTATATAGTGGATTATTGAAATTTGTTAAAAATCGTAAGCCCTATATATGTCTACTATTTTAAGGATGAAAAATTCTAGGAAACTTCTAATTTCAGGGACAGTATTTATCTTCTCAACACACTTTTGAGTACAGCCACAGGAGGGCACTGCATCCTCGGTCTAGAATGCTAAAACTTGGCTGACAGCACATGCCTGTAATTCAGAAGGTCATTCTGTACCTTTGGTTATTTCTTTGTTGTCAGTAAGGCCTCCACAGAGAGAAATGGCAATGGAGGGCAAATCTCGAATTCCATCCGAGGTGCTTTCAACTCCACTGTCAACACCTGAGCTCCCAACAGACTGCGGAGAGTGACTGGCGGACCGCGGCCCCGCGTCGTTCATGTTCTTGCTTTGGACAGCATCCCCACTGGAAAAGAAAAATCCGGAATTCAGTCTTCATGTATTCATTCCCAACGTCTCTCCCTTCAACAAGCAGTTCTACATCTGAAAGACACTTGGAGAGGGGGCAGGAGAAAAAAAAAAGAATTTTCTTGGTTTTGACATAAAATTTAAACAAAGTAGTATAGGCCTCATGTACCCTCAAACATTAGATTGCTTCTACTTACTTGCCTAAACTAGCCATCTATAATTATAGCTTCACTTATCTACAAGAGATTAAAAAAACAAGACAATAAACTGTACAATCTTAGCAGACAAGATAGTGCTACTATAAGCAGTTACAGCAGTAGAACTACTCCCACACAGGAACAAGAATAAACGTATTAGTTTATTATTTAATTTATACTAATTATATAAAATGATAGCTAAACCCAAAACAAAGGATGTGTATGTTTGTGTATTTGTATTAATGTATATATAAATAAAATACTCTACATAGAAATCATTAGGATTAAAATTTTAAGAAACAATGAATAATTATACCCACTGAAAATCTGTGTATAAAAGAGATCATTATTACAAAGTGCAGGCTCATTAGACTCTGCTTTCTATTCCAGATTTATATGAATGCATTTGAAAAAGGAATTTTCAATCCAACTTTTTTCTCCATATTACTAACCTTTCTCTGTTTTATTGTAATGCTAATATTACAACAGCTGAGTTCCATCAAGCAAGAAAGAAAAATAAAATATGCAGGCTAGTTTAGTTGCTGTTCAATGACTTTAGTCAAATGACTAGAGTATGATGTGGAAAGAGGACTATAAATAAGAGGCTCTAATAAAGATCGGAACAAGTTGCAAATTATATGTTCAGGGTACAGTATTTTCATAAATGAATCTGTTATGCATCATCCAAAAATTATTTTCTAACATTCATATAGGTGACCACTCACAGTAGAACAACATTATAGCAATAATTTTGTGCTAATACTCTTAACAGTAAGATATGTTCTTCACAGTAGTAATAAGCAAGGACATGGGGATAAATATAATCCAGAGTCAATGCTCTCCCAGGGCATGTGAGTAACACAAACATCAGTGTACATTACATAACAATCCACGATCGATATATGATGCTTAACTGACCAAAATAGAAAATCAGTTTCAAGCACACTTCTCAGGCCCAAATTCAGAGCCTTTCCAAAGCTCTAATATTCCTCTCTACAGAGTCTTATTTTCCTTCTGCCTTCACCGCTGCTTGTACTTTGAAAAAGACATCTTATCTAGTTGGCAATGAAGAGTTTGATCTAAATCCGGAAGGTGACAAGAGCTCTTTACATAGCAAAAATATAAGCAAAGGATTTATACTTCTTGGGGAAATAAAGTGCAGCAACTTCTGGATCCATGTCTGTGAGGTCATCTAAATAGACACCATCAGCACCAAGATGCCGGCTTCGTTTGTCTGTAAGGGATGGCACAGATAAGCCTATTAATGAGTATTTTCTGAGTAACAAGCCAGAACTGTTATTACTGTTTAACTATTCATTATAAGATTGAGAAACCAGACAAGTTATAACAGTTTGTGAACTGTATTTGTATAAAATGGTACTGCCAAAAATTTCAAAACAAGTTGCTCATATACATTGTGCAGACTTTGAATATGTAAAATAGGAGAGCAGAGGACTAGTTCTGAGGTAGACTGAAGTCTCCTTATCCCAGACAAAACCACTGGGAATTAGAAGTCAGTGATCACTGTAGGATAACAGCAAAAGGAAAACTTTCTGAGTATTTCCATAGGCCTGTTATCACTGTAAAGCAATCAGAGCATTTAATCTCTGAGAACTGATCTTCAGTGGCCCCTTGCAAAAGGGAAATAACACAACAGACTATACTATAGTCACTAATAGACTATTACTGGCTTGTTATGGAGACAACTGACTGTTTAGCACAAACAACTGATGTGTTGTGTGTGCACATGCACCATTGCAGGGGTCAAAAACACCCCCCCCAGGTCTTTCACTAGTACCAACACACACAGTCATCGCTGTCCTGTTGTTGTTTGTACATCTAGACAAATAACCACTGTAAGGCCAAAACCTAATTTGGAATTCATTCTAAAACCCACAACTTCTCACTGTCCCAACTTCCAACATCAAACATCAGAAAAGCAATCCGAAAAAAAAGTTATGTAAAGACTAAATAGTAACCAGAGTAACTCTGTCATTTTTGTCTTCAAAGACAGTGGAATGCATAGGGAAGTGGCTAAGAAACTTGCATGTTTAGTGATTAAAAAGCAGCTGCACAAACTAGACTTATACAGGGCTTACATAATTATAGAATAATCAGAGCTCTAAAGCATAACATTTGTAAGCAAATAAATTTCATGTGAAGATTCTAACATTTATTATAAAATACCATGGGTATAGAGTGCAGAAATTAAGAAGCAGAAAAGCAGGAAGAGTTGTATTACACAAATTCAGGACAGAACGTGTACCACAGAGAACCAAAGGTTCTGTTGGTCAGGTTGGACGGGGCTCTGAGCAACCTGATCTAGCTGAAGATGTCCCTGCTCACTGCAGGGGGGTTGGACTAGATGACCTTAAAGGTCCCTTCCAACCAAAAGATTCTATGATTCTATGATTGTATGAAATTGCTCATGTGAAACAAAGCATCTTATTTTATAGCAAATCTGTTGTCTGTGCAGAATACATACTACAACTTTGTACTAGAGCAGAGAGGTTCCACAATTACCAGCAACACAGAACAACTCATAAAGTAGTCAGAGGTGAACCAGCAGATCTACAGTCTGCTTGTACCAAAAAGTAAAATCTCTGAATCCATCAAATATGGATGAATTTGGAGCAAGTTTTGCAGTCTTGCTCATATGCACAGAGCTGCCAAAAATCCCAGACCAGGGAGAATGTTCTATCTTATTGCACTGCTCCTTTGAACAGCCTGCTGCACAGCTCAGGTTTTGAAGGTTCTTTCCAAAGCTTATTCCATTCCAGATCTTAAAGTGCCTTCAGGGCACAGATTAATTTATAGGACAATGAGGTGCTTTATCACCATGAAATTTAAAGACAACATCATACGTATAAAAGTGCAGGATCAACAGCTTTACCTTTCTTTCTGGAAGGGGAATCTGTCTTGACAGCTGGTTGGGCTGAGCAAGCTGCAGCTTGTTTTACTTCTTCACTGGCAGGCAATGGTGGTACAGCTGCTCCTGGAGACTCTGTCTCTGGCTTATTTGTCTCAGCCGGTAAGGGCTCGCTTTCATCAGCATTTGCTGCATCTGCTTGTCCAAGGGCAGGCAGAGGAGACACAGTGTTGAAGTCCTCTATAGTAGAACTTTGGATGACCCGAAAGTGAGTGCTTTCAGAAGGATTTACATCCACCATGCTGGGTTCCTTTGCTTTAAGCAGAGAACTGGCCTGCAAGGAAAAACATATGGATTGCTATAAAGAAAAGCTCTTAAAAAATGCAACAGAGTGTAACCTGTTCTGTTCACTCTAGCGAGACTGGATTCTCAAGATAACCAACTACAGCAGAAAGCCACAGCTAACTGAAGTGGAGACTACAAGTGTAGGAAAGACCACTTTGCTTTGCACTTGCTTGCACAAAATTCACCTGCATCTTGGGGTCAGGAAAGATCTGTTCTGCAATGTGGTCTACAGTCCTCATTTCCCACTCACCTGCCTGGGAGCACATCACAGCTCCACCCTGCCCTCCTCCCTTCCTGTGCAAATCCTAGCTTTTCTTCAGAAGGTAACCCTGACCAACATGAGAAGGGAGCACAGACTGGAGTGCCTACACAACTAGGGTGCTCTCAGGGACCAGGTCAGGCATACACTCATTCATCTACCCCAGATTTAGATTTTACATCACTTTATAGGAGCAATTCTAGATCTCTGACTGTGGGACAGGTGGTGTTCTTACAGAGGGGAGCTGAACTCCTACAGCAGCAGCTGTATAGCTGCTATAACTTTTAGGTAATAGCAAACAAACTCTTACACAAAAATCAACAGCATCCAAAGCATAACTCCCAGTTCAGGTATGGCCAGATCAATTCTGAAGAGCTTGGCTAGGGACACAGACAGGGTCTGCTGAGGGAAAAGCCTCCAGGAATAAGATGTGCAATACACACCAGGCTGTGTGACTGGGATAAAAATGAAATGCTGAAATCTACTAACAGGAAACCCTAAATTCTAGATTGGAAAAGCCAATGTGAAACCCCTGCCTGGACCTGTACACTTAAATCAGTTCTCTATGTACAGAAAATAGTTCCCAATTTTCTTGTAATATATGTGAGGAGGAGAATAACATAGAGGTGATGGGACAGCTCATCTTTGGCCCACTAAAGAAGAGGCCAGAGCTCTTCTGAAGGAATTAAGAATTCTAGATCCCCATCCCTGCTTTGTCACTAGCTGCCAACAGTGAATTAAAGATAAATTATAATAGTGCCATTATAACTCTGTTGCCACCACCAAAACACAGAAGTCTTCTTTCTGAGGAGGATACTCACTTCCCTGGCCTGCAAAGCAGGAATTTTGTTTCTTAATACTGTTGCTGACCCCATCACTCCTGCAGTCCTTCCTGCAGAGAAGCCAACCCTCAGCAGAAAGGGGCCAAACCCTGCACCATCACTGCTCCCATAGTTGTACTGACCCGCAGTGTGCTCAGCTGCACATGGCTACTGGGCAGCATGGGAGACAACGCTGCTGGCACACTACAGACCCTGCCATCTAACTGGGCCAAATGGCTTCAAGCAGGAGACAGGCACCAAGCCAGTCAGCTCAGTCAAGAGAACAGCACGTCTGGGCAAGCAGAGATACAGAACTGCAGGTGTTTCTGGATGCTTATGTACCCAAGCAACCCATTTTAATTTTTGTGAATCACACTGCTAACACCAAGCACCCAATTTCCATCTAAGACCATTTATGAATTTCAGTGATTTACCAAAGGAAATTGTGTTTGATTTTATACATTATTTAAGCTCCTAACTTTTGCAAGGCTAGGTTCTCAGGTACTTCCTCATTTGCTACTGTGTATCATTGGTGTTGAGAACATCCATGGCACAAGGCACTTTCCTATACCTCCTAAGGAGCAAGATGCAATTCTCTTTACATAAAATTGCAATGTTTTATGTAAAACAGGATCCATTCCCTGTTCCGC